GTGCTGGGTTCTCGCAGGTGTGGATGTGGTCTGGATGCTGTCCTGTGTCCTCTGGTCTCTTTTTTAGAAAGAGTTGTCTTTGTTATATTTTCATAATTCTATGTGGTTTTGGGAGCAGAGTTCCGCTGCTCTACTCACGCCGCCATCCTGGCTCTGCCCCTAGAGAGGCTACTTTGAGGAAATCTCACTAGACAGTAAATACCTCAACAACAGGTGACTTTTATTGTTGATGTGCTAATCAAAGTCCATTCAGAAAAACAGAAACAGCACTAGGTATTTTAACAGAGAGAATTTAATACAGATTATTGCTCTAAACACTTTCTGGAGGGTTGAAAAAGCAAAAAGGGAGCACAGGGGTAATCACAGAGGTATAACTTCCAAGGCTGGAAGGAGATTGGAGTTTTCATAAGCTAGAAGTTCAGAGGAGGATCATTACCTCAGGAGCTCAGAGGAGAGGCTTAGGAAACTGGATTTCAGATCTCTGTGAAAGGATGTTTGACTAGAAGTGGTACCTCCTTGGGGGTGTGAAGGGACTTGTTCTGGGAGCCTGGAGCCACCTGGTGCTGACAGGGTGAAAGCCCTTCACTGGGCTTACACTGACATGAGTAGCAAGCAAATAGCATGTCCTTCTTTCCTTCTCCCGCCTTCCAGTCTCCCATTGCACCCCGCCCCTCCACTGTATTGGTGGGACCTAACGGAGTTGTTGGGAGGAAGTACAAAAGAGAAACATAATTTGCAGATTCCCAGTCCCAGCTCCACAAAGCAGAGCATAGAAAGGTGAATTGGGGGTCAATGAGGTAATTTGTGCTTAATAATAGGCACAAATGGGTGCATTGTAGGTATCTAAAATATTTGGTTCACTCAGTTCAATAAGCTTACTTAAAATAATCAGAGCCAGGAGCTCTATTTCAAGGTGCCTGTTACTTTCGGTTAGAAGAGCAATGGCTTCATGAGCTGATGTGCCCTGTGACGGCTTCCCGGAGTCCAGCATTTATGTACAAACAAGTATAGGATGTAAGTTCCATGAAGGCAGGATTTTTGTCTGTTTTGTTCACTGCTGTAGCTCCAGTACCCATAACAGGGGGGGATAAATTCAAATATTTATTGACTGAAACCTCAACATTGAGATGGAATCTTAAGAGCCAAGCAGAAGTTCTAGCATGTAATACTGTTGTTTTGCAGCTATGACAAGTGATAATAGTTCAGAGCTATCAGTGGCCCTAATAACTGTGTGAGATAAGTTCTCTAAGGCTCAAAGGAATGGAACTGTATCAGGTTACCTTGGTTAATAGAGATTGATGATACATGAGAAGTAAAAAAATGAAATAGTCTCAGTGATGTATAGCCAAGCCTTACAGAGATTCAGGACACAGCTCTATGCTACCTCTCAAACTTGGCTGTCATAAAGGGAGCAGGCGTCTGGTGTGGCTCATCTAGTACAGTGGCATGGTAGAGTCTAAACAGAGAGCTGAACTGCAAACTTTTCCCAGTATTCTAAAGTTGATGGTGTATGAGGGAATACTGAATCAGGAATCAAGAACTTGAAGTCCTGGATCAGTCTACTGCACTACAAAGACATTTTATTTGATTTTCTATACTCTATTATGCCTCAAAATATGCAGTTGTCTACTTGCATTGAAGTAATTTCCATTTTTTCAGCCTAATTTCTGCAAGATATCTGGAGTAAAGGGAGGCATGGGTTTTTTGAGAAGACTATAAAAATGATCTGGATAATTCTAAATTATAAAATATGTTCCCAAAGTCTTTAACAAGTAAGAGCTTCATTTTTTGCCTTGGTATTTTTAAATTAAAAATGTTTTTCTAATTAGACTGAAGGACAGATGAAACAAATATCATGACTGTTAGGTAAAATGATACCTAGTACACATGTTATTATTATTTAGATAAATAATTTTTATTTATAATGGAGTTTGCTTGTTTGAGTTCCTTTGGAAAATTATAAATTTAATAAAAAAAGACTTGGTAAAATCATGCTGAACAAATTTCTATTTCAAACAGTTCTTGGTGTTAGGTAATCTCATATCACTTTCTATAAATGTCTTTTATTGATTTAAAGGGACAAGCATTCAGAGGATAATGTATAAAGTTCTTGAGAATGATTCAGGAAGAGTTCAGATAGCCTCCTGGTGTCAGCCACATCCAGGTACATGTAGCGCCAAGAGAATGACTACCTCATGGGTGGGGCAGAAAAGAGATTTAAAACCAATGGACATTGTCCTTCACAGCATATGCAAAAGTGGCTATAACTAGTCAGTACTAAAATATGTGAAGATAGTTGGTATTTGTTATGGGAAATTGCATGCTTTAGGGTGGCTTTCTTACTTAAAAAAAAATCAAATAATAAATCTAGCCACATACATTGAGATTAGGGATAAATTCAGTAAAACAGTGGCTCAGGTCAGATACAAGTATGTTTTTCTCATATGTAGAAGTCTGGAGGTAGTCAGTCTAGGACTGATGTGATAACTCCTCAAAACTTTCAGGAACCCAGGCCCCATCTGCTTACTTTTATGTCATCTCTAAGATGTCATCCAAGTTGGCTACCTGAGCTCCGGTGTCAATCTACATATCTGGCAGCAGGATGGAGGAGGGGCATGAGCCATCCCTTCAGGAGATTTCCCAGCAGTGTCTCTCATGTCTGCCTAATTCATCGCCAAGAACTTAAGCCATGGAGCTGTACCTGACTGAGAGAAAGCTAAGAATGTAGTCACTAAGCTGTGTGCATTGTGTCTTGCTCGAAGTCAGGGCTCTCTTACTATGGAAGGAGATAATAGAAATTGGAAGGCAAACTAACAAATTGCCGACCCTAGCTTTCCCACTAACTGTTCCTTAGTGCCATTGTCAGATGAAATGGCCAGTGATTTGATCCACAGTGACAATTCTTTCTGTTCGTGTGCATCTGTCACAATGCATACCACAGTAATAGTCACAAGAAGAATGTATCCATCTTAGAAGAGCTCCAGGAAGTTAAAAAAAAAAGCAGGGTTTATTTTATCAGATAGTCATTTCTTGCCAAGGTTGATACTTAAGCGTTTCCTTTGTTTTATAATAGTACTTTTCAATTCGCCAAGGCTTAATTTCATTCTTCTTTGGTTTCAGTATATAAGAAGAGTCTCGGAGATGACATTAGTTCTGAAACATCTGGCGACTTCCGGAAAGCCCTGTTGACTTTGGCAGATGTAAGGTTTTAGTTTGTTTTTTTTAACTCTCTAAAAGGTTGCATGCTCAAAAATAATTTTTAGGGAGGTTAAAAATAACCAAACTGGGACAACAAGATTGCAGTTTTCCTCATGAAATGCTTTATACATTTTACAGTTGCATTGCCACCAGCCACTATAATGTTTAACTGCAACCATAAAAGCATAATGTTACAAAATGAATTTAACAAAAAAAACCTTGTTTTGGCCAGTATATGGATTAAAAAGGTGTTTTGATCAAATTTTACAGTATATTGGAAAATGTTCTAATAATTCATGTGACATTAAATAATTGTTCATTTCCATTATAAGTGTCTCCATTTTTAAGGATAGGTTTACTTCCTTCTGGGCTCCAAAGAACATGTATTTCTTTTGTTAGCATTTAAATTAAGTAGCAAGAGTGATACAGAAGAATTCTCTTCAGAGATGGGTATGTCAGTTTTAGGACATTAAAAAAATTACTTGCTCAACTTTATTTTTGCCATTTTTGGAAGAGTTGCTAACCCCTCATCACCATATGACCAAAGGAGGCTAACTGAGCTGCCTCTTTTAAGAGCTTCATGACTTTATAGTAAAGGTGGTAAGGTCAAGGAGATACAACACAGATGTATGTAAGAGAGAAAACGACTTAAGCATATATCCCTGGCCTCATGCAGCTGACTTACACAGCTCTCATGTCTGAGAAAAGCCCAACAGTGGTCTCAGCCGGAGGGTTCAAATAGTCCTTGTCAAAGTGAGGCATTATGCCACTAGGAAACAGTTGATCATAATCATGGTTTCATTGTTTTTAATAGTGAAAACCTTACGGAGGCTGAACCTACACACCCAAATATATGATGCAGCGCTGCAACCGTACACTCCCAGCGGTTTACATTCAGAGCTGAACATCCACCCACAGGGGGCAACAGCGTAGGGCTGCAGGACAGGCTTTAAGAATCAAACAGACCCGGAGCCTCATGCTCCACTACTGCCTACTGGCTCTACATATTTGGACAAGTTACTTTAATATTCACGTCTGTATAATTAAAATAGTAATAGTACCAGCCTCACAGGTTTTGTGAAGATTAAGAGAGAGAGAGTATGTGAAGTACTTAGCACATACTTAGCACATGGTGGTGGTGCTTTTTACCTTTTTATCAAACTAAAAATTTTTAAAGTAAATAGTTGGACTTCTTAATAGGTCTTTTTTTTATTGAAATATATTTGATATACAATATTATACTGATTTCAAGTATGCAACATAGTGACTAAAGAGTTACACACATTATGAAATCCTCACCCCAGCTAGTGCCATTGCTATCTCTCAACACAGAAAGATGTTACAGAACCATTGGCTCTATTCTCTATGCCATTGTTATTGACACCAGTGATTCCCAGCACGTTTGTTATTGGAGCAGAGTGCAAAATGAAACAGAGCAAGAAGGCAAACAATAGCAGGGTGGCAGCAGCACTGAAAAGAAACAAATGAATCATGCAAAAATCAGACACACATACAGGGACCTGATAGTTAAAAGTAGAAAAAATGCATTTTTCAAATATTTAGCCAAAAGCTTCATTCACCTGTAGTTTTCAAAAGTATTTGGGTGGTCCTCTCCCCCATCTCTGTCTCCCGTCTTGCTGTGAGGTACACAAGCACACACTCACACTTAGCCACAGAGCCTCAACATGAGACTTGGTGGCGACTTTGAGGTTTTTGTTTTTTAAAACCTTATATTTATTAGAGAAGTTTAAGGTTTCTAGAGAATTGAAACTGAAAGTACAGAGAGCTCTCATATGCCCCTCTTCCCACCCCCTCACAATTTCCCCTATTATTATCTTGGATTAGTGTGGTACGTTTGTTGTAGTTGATGAATGAATGCTAATACAATATTATTAAGTAAAGTTCATAGTGTACATTAGGATTCACTCTTTGTGTTACACAATCAGTGGGTTTTAACAAATGTATAATATCCTCTATCCACCACTACAGTATCATGCAGAATTGTTGACCTAAAACTCCTGTGCTCCAGCTGTTCACCCTTCTCCTCCTCCCTCCAACCCCTGCCAACCCCTGATCTGTTTACTACCTCTATGGTTTTGCCTCTTTCAGAACATTATATACTGGGAATAATCAATATGTTGCCTTTTGGACTGGCTTCTTGCACTTGTCTTCCACGGCTTGATAGCTTTTTCCTTTTTATTGCTGAATACTGTTCTATTGCATGGCTAGTTTTCACCTGCTGAAGGGCATCTTGGTTACTTCCAAGTTTTGGCAATTATGAATAAAAACTTCTCTCAACATTCATGTGCAAGTTTTTGTGTAGACATAACTTTTCAAACTCATTTGGGCAAATATTCGGGACCACAGTTTCTGGATTGTATGGTGAAAGTATGTTTGGTTTTGTAAGGAATGGCCAAACTGTCTTCCAAAGTAGCTGTGATATTTTGTATTCCCACCAGCAAGGAAATTCCTGTTGCTCCAAATCCTTGTCAGCATTTGGTGTTGTTGGTGTTTTGGATTTTGTACATTCTAATAGGTGTGTAAGGTATCTTATTTTTGTTTTAATTTCCAATTCCCTAATGACTTGTGATGTTGAGCATCTTTTCATGTGCTTTCTTGCCAACTGTACATCATCTGATGTCTGTTCAGATCTCTTACCCATTTTTAAATTGGGTTGTTTATTTTATGGTTGAATGTTGAGGGTTTTTAAAATATATTCTAGATACAATTCCTGTATCAGATACATGTTCACAAATATTTTCTCTGAGAATGTTGCTTTTCTTTACTTCCCTTAAGATGTTTGAGTTTTCAAAAGAGGAAACTGAGGCTTAGAAAATTGTGTGATTTGATACAAATTTTGTGGTTAGTGGTGGCAGAGGCCAAACTAAAAGCCCTGAGCACCTGAGACCACTATGCTGCATGGCCTCGCCTGGAAAAACCTGGAGACGCCCTGCTGGTTGGAATACCGAGTGTTAGAATCTTGTCTTTAAAAGGATGTCCCAACCCCACCACCACTTTGAGCCTTTTAGCTAACATCAAGTGTAGTTTCTGTTCTTATCAATTTTAAAATATTGCCCTTGTTGACATCTTTTCTGTTTAGGGCAGAAGAGATGAAAGTCTAAAAGTGGATGAGCATCTGGCCAAAAAGGATGCCCAGGTCAGTAAGAAAACAAAGAAAACATCTCCCTGCACTACTCCGCCCCTTGACTGCCTTGGTGTTTCTGTGGCCCCAACCGGAGCTGTTCCCGCCCTCCCTGTCTGAAGGCGGAGCCTGGAAGCTGGGATCACCAGCCCTGGCTGCCCTCCCTCCCCGTTGGTGGTGGCTCTTCCCCTGGCTTCTGCCACCTCTCAGATTTTTAGTCTGCTAAAAGGGAGAGGCTTGGATAATAGATTATTGCACTGACCTCTAAAATCAAGTAAACCTCCCACTCTTCTCATTCAAATCCCTCAAAAAAGAGAGACCCATGTCCATAAGAACATTGAAGTCTTCCTCCCTTGTCCAATAGATTCTCTACAATGCTGGGGAGAACAGATGGGGCACGGATGAAGATAAATTTACTGAGATCCTGTGTTTAAGGAGCTTTCCTCAATTGAAACTGAGTACGTACTCACATTATAGTCTTTTTTGTTTGGTGTTGCATTTGTAAATGTTTTTGGGTTTAATATACAAAATTCTGGAAAATAAAGTTAAAAATTGCAAAGGCAAGTATTTCCAGAAACAATATGGCAAAGCTGTGTTCCAATTGAAGCAGAACTGATACTGCTCTCATTTTCCTTAGAGGCTGAGTAGGTTACCTAGTGAGTGACAGGTAATGGATGGGGGGTGGGGTGTGTACAGGAAGAAGAAAAGGAGGAGCCTCTGGGGTGAGAGCAGAGAGGAGTGTTCTTGTGGGACAGAGGAGCCTGACTGCATTGCTTCAACCCATCTCTTCCCTAGTTAGCTCTTTTCCAGAAAAACCAGGCATTGGGGGTGAGTTTCTGTTAATGATTAATACAGATTAACATTCAGCTCTTTCTGGGATGAAGGTAGATGGGGGAGAGGAATAATTTTTTTGACAGACCAACTATTACATGGAACCACTAAGCACCCACCTCCTCACTCATGCATCTCCCTGAGCCATTCTGGAAGCTACAGCACTCAGAAGCCCAGAGCTCCATTAACCGTGAACATCTGACTGTGGCTCCCAGCTGCAGACCTAGAGAACGACCACAGAGCATGACTAAGCTTATGCTGAGTTCATGGAAAAATGAAGAAACATAAGGATATTACCATGACCTTTTAATTCTGAAATTGCCCTTCCTTAATTATGGCATTAAAATTCTATTTATTTTGTAAAATAATGGTAATGGTATATTATACTTGACTTTATTAGAAAATATAATCCAAACAATCTGAGATTTCTCTCCAAAATTTCCTCTTTTTTTTCAAAATTTAGTTGGCTTACAAAATATGCCTACATACTTGGTGATATATGCACTGATTTTGCACTGGGGCAAACAAATACTGATCAAGAAATTTGGATATGAACAGATACTTCTCCAAAGAAGAAATCCAGATGGCCAATAGGCACATGAAAAGATGCTCCACATCACTACTCAGCAGAGAAATGCAAATTAAAACCACAATGAGATATCACCTCATACCAGTTAGGGTAGCCACCATCCAAAAGACAGACAACAACAAATGTTGGTGAGAATGTGGAGAAAGGGGGACCCTCCAACACTGCTGGTGGGAACACAAACTAGTGCAACATTGTGGAAAGCAGTATGGGGGTTCCTCAAAAAACTAAAAATAGAAATACCATTTGACCCAGGAATTCTACTCCTAGGAATTTACCCTAAGAATGCAGGATCCCAGTTTCAAAAAGACATATGAACCCCTATGTTTATTGCAGCACTATTTACAATAGCCAAGAAATGGAAGCAATCTAAGTGTCCATCAGTAGATGAATGGATAAAGAAGATGTGGTACATATACACAATGGAATATTACTCAGCCATAAGAAGAAAACAGTCCTACCATTTGCAACAACATGGATGGAGCTAGAGGGTGTTATGCTCAGTGAAATAAGCCAGGTGGAGAAAGACACATACCAAATGATTTCACTCATCTGTGGAGTTTAAGAACAAAGAAAAAACTGAAGAAACAAAACAGCAGCAGACCCACAGAACCCAAGAATGGACTAACAGTTCCTAAAGGGAAAGGGACTGGGGGTTGGGGGGTGGTAGGAAGGGAGAGAGAAGGGGAATAAGGGACATTATGATTAGCACACATAACATGGGAGGGGCCACGGGGAAGGCAGTATAGCACAGAGAAGACATGTAGTGACTCTGTAGCATCTTACTACGATGATGGACAGTGACTGCAATGGAATATGTGGTGGGAACTTGATAATGGGGGGATTCTAGTAACCACAATGTTGCTATGTGATTGTATATTAATGATACTAAAATTTAAAAAAAAAAGAAATTTGGATGCCTTCTGGTGAGTGTGAAGTAGGCCATGTAGCCTTAGGGAATGATATACTCAGCACAAAGAAACCTTCATCATTAAGATTTTCTTCACAGATAAAACACATTTGACTAATGGCCACACTGCTGTTTCCCAGATGCTGCTGTAATTTAAAAGTAGTCTACCTTACTAGATAAATTATCGCTTAACCTCTCAGTCTATTTTGAGTTCTAACAGCCTCAGAAGGGAGGAGGGACAGGAGAGAGGCAGGGAGGGAGGGAGATCATTGAAGAAAATGACCTATGAAGTTCAGTTTTATTATAGATGATTTTTTTAAAGAACAAATGGTAAACAAAGACTTCCTGATTTCTTGATATAAATGATGGTGTAAAGGAGTTTTTAAGCTTACCACTTAACAACTTGATTTGCTGCATATCAAATGAAAAACTGGAAGATATTCAAGTGTGGTCAGCTGGGATGCTTTCAATACTTCTGTGGTGCTGTTTTTTAGCATTTGATGAATACCGAAATATTAGCCAGAAGGACATTGAGGACAGCATAAAAGGAGAATTATCTGGGCATTTTGAAGACTTACTCCTGGCCATAGGTAAGCCTTTGGGTGCTTATCAACTGACTTACTTTGCATTTGTTCAAAATCAATGTCAGGGTAGTGCCTTTCAAGTAAGAATCCTGACTGACCCACCTTTATGCTCCCACAGCCCCTTGCACAGTCTGTGATACACACAACAAGCTCAACAAATACTGTTAAATGGATTCATGAAGAAGTATTTTTTTAGGTCTTGTTTTGTCTTTTAACTTAAAAAAATTTTTTTTATTGAAGTATAGTTGATATACAATATTTTATTAGTTTCAGGTGTACAACATAATGATTCCATAAGTAATATACATTACAAAATACTCACCACAGTGTGTAGTTACCATCTCTACAAATTACTACAATATTATCAGCTATATTCCCTATGCTGTATTTTTCATCCCCATGATTTATTTATCTTATAATTGGAGGTCTGTACTTCTTTATCCCTTTCACCGATTTCACCCATTCCTCCCACCCCATCCACTCTGGTAACCATCAGTTTGTTCTATTTATGAGTCTTATTTCTGTTTTGTTTGTGGCTTAGTTTGTTGTGTTTATTTTTTCAGGTTCCATATATAAATGAAATCACAGTGTTTGTCTTTGTCTGACTTATTTTGCTTAGCATAACACCCTCTGGGTCAATCCATATTGTCACAAATGGCAAGATTCCATTCTTTTTTACAGCTAAATAATACTCCATCATATATATGTACCACATCTTCTTTACCCATTCATCTACTGACGGACATATAGTTTACTTCCATATCTTGGTTATTGTAAATAATACTACGATAAACTTAGGGATGCATAAATCTTTTCAAATTAGTAATTGTTGTTTACTTTGGGTAAATACCCAGAAGATACTGGGAATTTCTGGGTTATATGGTATATCTTTTCAGTTTTTTGAGGCACCTCCATACTGTTTTCCATAGTGGCTACACCATTTTCCATTCTCACCAACAGTGCACAAGTGTTACAGATACAGGTAAAGATGCTCAACATCACACATCATCAGAGAAATGCCTTTTTTACATAGTGGTGTGCTTGTCACCACATTTGGCTTGTAAACTCCTTGAAAGATGAATATACTGCATTCCTGTGGCATTTTTATTGAGCCTTGTTGGAAACTAAGCCAGTCTGGTATGTACCTATTTGGTTGTTTTTGGAAGATGCCAGTGGCCTCCCAAAGTAGAGCCCCCATCGGAACCGTAGGCCGCCTCCCTTGGCCTTCTAATAGGGCATATCAAAGAGAAAGTCAATCACAGACTTAATCTGTTCCTTAGAGAGACACGTGGGCTTGCGAGCAGGCAAAAACACTGTTCTGTAAGCTGATCTGCCTTCTCAATGAGGTCTCTGCCGTCTCTAGACACAAGTTATTCATCAGTAGTCAAGGATGTTAGAGATGGAGCCGGGGTGTACCCTACGGAGTTATCAGTGTAGGCATAGGTGCTGGTGTGTCTGGGATCTGGAGATGAGTCAGCTGCTCCTGGAGTTTCTTTGGCAGGTAATTTTATTTTCCCTATGGCTAAAGATAATTACTGTGCTTAAGTTCCATGCAAATATGATGTTATAAGGCTTTGAAATTCAGGTTAAGCATTCTTTCTTTTGTCCTAAATGAAAGCCAGCGGTGAAGAGGGGGTAAAGTGGTATTGTGACCCCAAGAATCTTTTTAAAGAACATATGATTATAGATTAACTCAATTTTTATTAAATGAAACTGAACATTACTTTGCTTTTTACAACAGTTCACTGTGCAAGGAACATGCCTGCCTTTTTAGCTGAAAGACTGCATCAAGCTTTGAAGGTTGGTCTGGAAATTTCATATACATTCGAAGTTTCCCTCAAGGAGAATATGAAAATATTGCTTAATATTGATGGAATTTCATATTTCTTTTCCACACTGATGAGTTTTCTTTTGCAGCTAATGTGTCTGCTAATTTGTCTCATTGGCTGGTAGTGAGTATCCTGGTCATCATAGACATAGGTACAGTAGAGGATTGATTCAATTTTTTCCCAGCAAGTGTAGACAGCAAAACTTGTTTTAGAACACCAAACCTCAAATTTGACTCATTAAGTCCTGTGTCCTCTCAGGCTGTCTTATAAAGTAAACCAAGCTGCATCAGCAGCACTTTGTGATACAGAAACCCTGTGTTTTCTTGTCTGTTGCTACTGCTTAGACGGTAAGCTTCACAAGTGCAGGACTTTTTCTTGCCCTTTTGTGTCTTAGGACCCTCATACTGGGGCTGGCACAGTAGAAAATACTCACTTCAGTTTCTTTACTGGACATTTCCTAGGCAAGTCCACATGTACATTCAAAGTGAGGCCCCACAGGAACATATCATATCCCTCCCGTACCCTCCCACCCCAAGTCTCTCCAGGGTTCAGTCATCTCAGTGCATGGTTCCCACAGGAACTAGCCCTGCCCAACTCTCCTCCACATCCTTGTTCTCTAAGCTTCAGCCACCTCAGCCTTCTTGCTGCTTGGCTATTTCCAGTCTCTTCCCGTGTCAGAATCTTTGCTTTGTTGTCCCCTTGGCCTGGAATGTACCCGCTCACATCTGCAGATGGCTGGCTCCTTCTCACCTTTCAGGTCTCGGCTCAAATGATACCTCCTAAGAGAAGTCTTCCCTGACTACAAATGGGCAGTTGGCTTCCTTTCAGCATGTCCCACTCCATTCTTCTTATTACTATGTACTTAACTTACTAATTTTCTTTACTGTTCATCTCCATTCAAAGAAGGTAAACTCCAAGAGAACAGAGAGAGAATCTGTGTAGTTCACTACCATATGCACAGTACACGGAACAATGTCTGGCATGTAGTAGATGCTTAGTAAGCATTTATTGGATGAATGAATAAGCAGAGTGTCAATATCCACCTAACTGCTCAGCTAGACATTTTATACTTCTCTCTCTCCTTTGTTCTCCCCAAATGATACATCACAGTTTTTCAATCTACCTTTATAAGTATCTCTTAAATCTACCCATTTTCTTCATCCCTGCTACCATTATTCTAGATCAGACCATCATTTTTTTTCCCCAATCACCTCTGAACAAGTACCAAAGTTTCTAGTCTTATTCTATTATCATCATCCCACTCTCACCCTGCAGTCCATTCTTCAGAGGGTGTCAAAGGGATCTTCTGAAATCGCAGCCCTCGCATGTTTAACAGATTGCAGAAGCTCTCCACACTTGGGATAAAGTTACAATTTCATTCATGGTTTACAAGTCTGGCCTTTCCAGACACATTTTTTGCTATTCCTCCTCATTATTTTTGTATCCTTAAATATGGCATTGTTTCTTGCCCTGAACTTTCACACATGCTGTTTCCTCTATTGGAACACTTTTTTCCTCTCTATATGGATCCCACTCCTTCTTCCCCTGGCTGAATATTTAGGCCATAGCTTAAATAACCACTTTCTCAGACAGATCTGTAATCCTTGATCTATTTTAGTCCCCTTAACATATGCTCCCATAGTACCCATCATTCCCCTTATGTCAGATTATATCATAATGGCCTGTTTTCTGGCCTGTATCCTTTACACAACTGAAAGCTTAACAGGGATGTCTCATCTCTGTTGTCAGCATTTGGTATAGTGATGGCACAGCCCAATAAATATTTAAGTGCCTGATAAATATTTCTTGAATAAATGAATGATGAAGTTTTTGATAAGTAAATGAGGAAGAGTCACTGTGGTTAACTATTTTGTGCACCACTATCTTCCCTGTAAATATAGATCTGTATGTTGTTTTGTGATCAATGAGATTTGTATTGTGGACACTTGTATTTCTTAACAGGGTGCTGGAACTGATGAGTTTACTCTGAACCGAATAATGGTTTCCAGATCGGAAATTGACCTTTTGGATATTCGAGCAGAGTTTAAGAAGCATTATGGCTATTCCCTATATTCAGCAATTAAAGTAAGTCACCTCTTAAAAATAACAAAACACATTTTGTCTTCTCTACTCATCCTCTTGCCCTTATAATCCTTAAAACATGGAGGTACGTGATTTGGATTTCTCTCTCCCTGTCAATGTATAAATGTGTTTTCTGAGTTCAAAATAGTAGTAGCAAAATGTTCTTTAAAGGCAGTGATTATTTTCCAGCTCTGAAATCCCAGACACATAATAGACACTCAACATTTTTGGGGGTGTTTAGTGGCTACAAATTTTTGTTCTTTTGTGAATTCATATACAAGTTGTAGCAGTATTTTTATTCATTTCGGTTTTTCTTTACGACAAAAAAGGGAAGAAAAGTACTCTCCTTTTTACACAAAAGATAGCATGGTTCTTCACTGAAGTTCTTTTCACTTCAGTATATAGGAGGCATTCTCATTCTTTTTAATAACTGCATATCATTCCATTATTTGTACCCACCACATCAACAGATGTTTCCAGTTTCTTCATATTATAAACAAGGCTGCAGTATGTATACATAATTTCATAAGGTGCAAGTGTAACTGAGGTATAAATTCTCATAAGTAGGTGGGATTTCTGAGACAGAATGTAAATGGGATTTTGGTAAACACTACCAATTAACCTCAATTTGCACATCAGCCAACTAGATTCCTTCACCAAAGTGTTTTTTTAAACACCGCCTTTGTTTTTCACTAACTCTGTACAGAAAGAGATGCGTGCCTAAGTTGAAATAGGGAAGTTATTAAAAAAGGCAACTCATACTACTGTGCCTGCAGCTTAGCACAGATTTCATCAACTTGGGTTGAGGCAATTTGAATTGATCCTGACACATTACAATAGTTTCAATCAACAGAGGAAGATTCAATAATGTTAACCATAATATATTAATTAAAGAGGAAAAGTAGACTCATACATTTTATAAAGATTTTCAGTAACAAAGTTGAAACACAAAGAGGGTTTCAGTTCACCCTCAGCAAACCAGAAAATTAAATTAACTAGTAGCTCTCCCTCCCCTGATGGTCTGGGTAATTGAGGCTTATTGTATTAGGAAAACATTTAAACTATGACTATCTTGATAGAAAAGAAAAATCCATTGCTGAAGAGTTCAGTTTGTAATTTAAAATTATATAAGGTTTCATTTCTATTGCCTAACATACATTATTAAGTAATCTCATTATCTTCTTGATACTGATGAATAGAATCTTTTCAGTGGTTAAATTTCTGTACTTCAGGAGCTAGAGTTCTACTTTATATATCATACTGGGCTTTGGTTCTGTCTTCTTCATTCTGCCTATAGTTTAGACATTTCTTTGCTCATTAACACCTTTCTCAGGTGATGATTGTTAGGGAGGAGAAGGGGAGAAATAAGATAGGTGAAAAACAAATATAGATTTCTTATTAACTTAAAAGTAAGGTATTAACAAAATTTGAATGAAATTACATTTTTGGTAGATTTTTTTAATCAACAAATTAAGTACCTATTTAATAAATAGCCAATTCCAGGGTCTTTAAGGCAAAACAGTAGCTACCCTTAATTAATTCATTATCTATGTGGAGATTTAAGGTTGACATAAATAAAACAATTAGAAGATAATAATATGACATACAGTTAAATACTAGATTGTTGGGTACAGAAGATAGTAGTGTGTATAGGAATTGAGAGTAAAAAAAGTTTGGGATTAGAATAGGAATATTTCTAGGCAAATGGGTCTTGAGCCTGCCTTTCAGTTTAATAAGCATGTGTTAAGTGCCTCCTATGGGCCACGTAGTATTCTAGTCAGTAGGGTCTCAAAGTTGAATGCTCTAGAAATATATGTATGGTAAGAAATAGGAGGGAAAGAAATAAGTGAAATGCTTGATTGATTAGGGATCTACCTTGGGTAATTTTGAAAAATAAAAGCCTAGTAGTAAGATGAATTCGGTTGAAAGAGAGCTTTGAGATCACAAAATTTGTATCTTTTTCATTCAGTTAAAAGTATTTACTGAATGCGTATTATGTGCCAGGCTCTGGATTACAATTATAAGCAAAGAAAAGCAAAAAAATTTCCCTGTTCTTATGGAATTACAAATAAATATAGAATTGCAACTCTGTTAAATCTAAAAGAAAGAGATATTATGGTTAGACTATGTAATAGAAGGATTTGACCTATAGGAAACTTCTAAGAGGAAGTTATTCAGATCTGAAAATGAGTAGAGAGTAACAAGCAAAGGTTGTGGGGGTTGGGAGTCAGTAGAGCATTCTAAGAAAAGGAATTGCAAGTGGAAAGACCTCATGGTGGAGGAAGCAATGAAAAAGTGAGGCTGGAGGGACCAGATCATGCAAGACATTTTTGGCAATGTTTAAGGATTTTGCATTTAGTTTAAGAGTAATGGAAAGCCACTGAAGAGTTCTAATTTTAAGCACATAGTGTCATGATCAGAAGTACATTTTGAAAAGATCCCTGCGACTGTGGAGAGTGAATTGGACATAAGATAGAAGAGAAGTGGAGTAATGAGTTATTATATGAGTCATATTTGAGTAGCTGTGACTGGGTAACACAAAGCTACTGGGATTGCAAAGAAAGCAAAGAGTAAAAACGCAAAAGATTTTTAGGAGTTCGTATTTAATTGGTGTGATATCTTGGGTGAGAAGCAAGGAAGAGGTGTCACATATGACTCCCAGATTTCTAACTTAGGAAACAGATTGTGATACCATCCCCTGTAAAAAAAGTCAGGTTTTAGGTGTGTTTTTTTCCTTTTTTCAGAGTAGGGGAGAAAGTGCATGAGTTGGGTCTTGCCTGTGTTGCACTCAAGCTGTCTTTGAAACATGTAAGTGGAGGTGTTGAGTTGGTAGCTAGTGGTATGAGATATATTTTTAGAGTCATTTCTGCTATTGAATCCTTGGACACAGGTGAAAATCCTCTAGAGAGAGAATACAGATTGAGAAGAGAAGCAAGTTTAGAATTGAGATTTAAACATTACTAACAACTGATAGCTGCATAGCAGAGGATGAACCTGCAGATAAAACAAAGGTAAAGGTGATAGAAAGAAGGAAAAGCCTGGACTGCCTACAGGAAAAGGAGGGGCTACTTGCCTGATGCATATAGTGGTCATTGGACTTGATTTACAAAACAGTAAGAATTAACACCTTGAAGTGTACAGATTGAAGAATCTAGGGTTAAGGAAACTGGTGAGAGAGACTAGAGCTAGAGTAGATTTGCTGACTTAAACACCATAAAGAAATAATTGGCAGGACAGATTAAATGTTAAGGATAAAATATGGAATCGTGCTGATGGATAGTGACTGTAATTGGGGAGGACTTGATAATGGAGGGAATCTAATAACCACAGTGCTACTTATGTGATTGTATATTAATGATACCATAATAAAAAAAATATGGGATCAAAATTGGGGGAAGAGAGAACCAGTGGTACCACTGTTAAAAACAGGCCAACAGAAGCAGTTTCTTAAGAACAATTAATATGGCCCAATTAGAAAAGCATAAATTATGTTCAGTGGTTTTGAAAAATACATCAACTTTTTTGTCATGACAAAATTTCTAAATTGACATTTAAATAGAATAACTATTACACTAAAAGGCATAAGGGTATAGAGGTAGAAGGAGAGGGTGAACATTTATTTAGTGTCAACAGTGGATCTGAATGTTATGTATAGCTCTGTGTTAAGCTACTTGGACTTACTTTCTCAACTCACTGAAAGAACCCTTTATAATTGTTTACAACATTGATCAGAGATGGCTAAAGGGAGCTGTCTTAACACTACGTGATCACAAGTCCAATCACATGCCCAAGTGGGTGAGCTGCGATGGGAAAACGTGGGAAAGATCAAAGACCAGGCCAGGAGACTCCACATGAGACACAGGGGTGTGCTGGGGCTTAAGTACAGGGAGTTCCGGAGCAGCCGACTGGATGAGGTTGTGCACTGCTGTTGTGGACAGGGAGGGAACTGATTATATGGGGTGAGAGGACAGAGACTCCTCTACATGTCAGGGATGAGGGGACAGAGACTACCTGCAATGCCAGGAGGGATCATTCTTGTGCCACCAGTGCCCCAAGGAACAAAACCTTCGTCAGAGGCGTCTGCCTCTCAATATTTCCATAGATAAGGTGTTTCTGGATTTGGCCATCCCCAGGCCATCAACATGTCATATACCTAGCATACTGCCTGAAGGAGGGGGCCCGGTGGACACATGGTTATTCTGGGACAAAAGGTTACACCAGGCAGTGCTTGTCCCCACAAATAACAAAGCTAGTTAATAAGCATGTGTTAAGTGCCTCCTATGGGCCACGTAGTATTCTAGTCAGTAGGGTCTCAAAGTTGAATGCTCTAGAAATATATGTATGGTAAGAAATAGGAGGGAAAGAAATAAGTGATATGCTTGATTGATTAGGGATCTACCTTGGGTAATTTTGAAAAATAAAAGCCTAGTAGTAAGATGAATTCGGTTGAAAGAGAGCTTTGAGATCACAAAATTTGTATCTTTTTCATTCAGTTAAAAGTATTTACTGAATGCGTATTATGTGCCAGGCTCTGGATTACAATTATAAGCAAAGAAAAGCAAAAAAATTTCCCTGTTCTTATGGAATTACAAATAAATATAGAATTGCAACTCTGTTAAATCTAAAAGAAAGAGATATTATGGTTAGACTATGTAATAGAAGGATTTGACCTATAGGAAACTTCTAAGAGGAAGTTATTCAGATCTGAAAATGAGTAGAGAGTAACAAGCAAAGGTTGTGGGGGTTGGGAGTCAGTAGAGCATTCTAAGAAAAGGAATTGCAAGTGGAAAGACCTCATGGTGGAGGAAGCAATGAAAAAGTGAGGCTGGAGGGACCAGATCATGCAAGACATTTTTGGCAATGTTTAAGGATTTTGCATTTAGTTTAAGAGTAATGGAAAGCCACTGAAGAGTTCTAATTTTAAGCACATAGTGTCATGATCAGAAATACATTTTGAAAAGATCCCTGCGACTGTGGAAAGTGAATTGGACATAAGATAGAAGAGAAGTGGAGTAATGAGTTATTATATGAGTCATATTTGAGTAGCTGTGACTGGGTAACACAAAGCTACTGGGATTGCAAAGAAAGCAAAGAGTAAAAACGCAAAAGATTTTTAGGAGTTCGTATTTAATTGGTGTGATATCTTGGGTGAGAAGCAAGGAAGAGGTGTCACATATGACTCCCAGATTTCTAACTTAGGAAACAGATTGTGATACCATCCCCTGTAAAAAAAGTCAGGTTTTAGGTGTGTTTTTTTCCTTTTTTCAGAGTAGGGGAGAAAGTGCATGAGTTGGGTCTTGCCTGTGTTGCACTCAAGCTGTCTTTGAAACATGTAAGTGGAGGTGTTGAGTTGGTAGCTAGTGGTATGAGATATATTTTTAGAGTCATTTCTGCTATTGAATCCTTGGACACAGGTGAAAATCCTCTAGAGAGAGAATACAGATTGAGAAGAGAAGCAAGCTTAGAATTGAGATTTAAACATTACTAACAACTGATAGCTGCATAGCAGAGGATGAACCTGCAGATAAAACAAAGGTAAAGGTGATAGAAAGAAGGAAAAGCCTGGACTGCCTACAGGAAAAGGAGGGGCTACTTGCCTGATGCATATAGTGGTCATTGGACTTGATTTACAAAACAGTAAGAATTAACACCTTGAAGTGTACAGATTGAAGAATCTAGGGTTAAGGAAACTGGTGAGAGAGACTAGAGCTAGAGTAGATTTGCTGACTTAAACACCATAGAGAAATAATTGGCAGGACAGATTAAATGTTAAGGATAAAATATGGAATCGTGCTGATGGATAGTGACTGTAATTGGGGAGGACTTGATAATGGAGGGAATCTAATAACCACAGTGCTACTTATGTGATTGTATATTAATGATACCATAATAAAAAAAATATGGGATCAAAATTGGGGGAAGAGAGAACCAGTGGTACCACTGTTAAAAACAGGCCAACAGAAGCAGTTTCTTAAGAACAATTAATATGGCCCAATTAGAAAAGCATAAATTATGTTCAGTGGTTTTGAAAAATACATCAACTTTTTTGTCATGACAAAATTTCTAAATTGACATTTAAATAGAATAACTATTACACTAAAAGGCATAAGGGTATAGAGGTAGAAGGAGAGGGTGAACATTTATTTAGTGTCAACAGTGGATCTGAATGTTATGTATAGCTCTGTGTTAAGCTACTTGGACTTACTTTCTCAACTCACTGAAAGAACCCTTTATAATTGTTTACAACATTGATCAGAGATGGCTAAAGGGAGCTGTCTTAACACTACGTGATCACAAGTCCAATCACATGCCCAAGTGGGTGAGCTGCGATGGGAAAACGTGGGAAAGATCAAAGACCAGGCCAGGAGACTCCACATGAGACACAGGGGTGTGCTGGGGCTTAAGTACAGGGAGTTCCGGAGCAGCCGACTGGATGAGGTTGTGCACTGCTGTTGTGGACAGGGAGGGAACTGATTATATGGGGTGAGAGGACAGAGACTCCTCTACATGTCAGGGATGAGGGGACAGAGACTACCTGCAATGCCAGGAGGGATCATTCTTGTGCCACCAGTGCCCCAAGGAACAAAACCTTCGTCAGAGGCGTCTGCCTCTCAATATTTCCATAGATAAGGTGTTTCTGGATTTGGCCATCCCCAGGCCATCAACATGCCATATACCTAGCATACTGCCTGAAGGAGGGGGCCCGGTGGACACATGGTTATTCTGGGACAAAAGGTTACACCAGGCAGTGCTTGTCCCCACAAATAACAAAGCTAGGTCATTGTTGACTTGTCACCAGTCTGAGAGATTATTAGAGGTGGTAGAGCAAAACTTAGGAAAACTCAAAGGGGAAGAACTAAAATCTGTATAGAAGAGGAGAATGTAAATTAATGCCTTTTGTGTCTTACTATGAAAGTGACGCTTAATCTCTTCTCTAAATGACCTTCCTTCAGTGCTTCCTCTGCATTACCGCTTACTGTAATATTTACCCCAGTGTGAAACTGAAGGGATAAGAAGTACTCACTATTTGAGATGCCTTGAATAAAATAAGTATGAAATGAGGGTTTTAGGCAATTTAGGTCAAAAACCAGGTTTTACTTCTTTTGCATAACAAACATGGCATCTTTGTACTTTAAAGTTTCAATCTCACATGGTATCTTTATGAACCAAGATCTCTTTTCAGCTAGTTGAAAGGAAAGGAACTGAGAAACATGCTATGCTCGTGGGGGATGTAGTTCTTTTAATTTTCTTAAGCCAGACAGTGTAGTATGGTGTTTAGGGGCCAAACTATCTGGGTTCAAATCCTGCCTCTATTGCTTATTCTCTATATAATTTGGAACAAGTTTCCTAATCTCTGTTTTTCTCATTTTACTTATCTGTTAAATGGAGGTACTTATGGTATCTACTGTATTGTTATTATAAGGGTTAAATTGATTAAACCCTTAGAAGAGCAAGTGTTGGATATATATTAATAATATTATTAAGCTATAATTTTTTGAAGTTTTGTTAGAAAATTAGTATATAATGCTATGTAATTAATGGAATCTTTTTAAAAATGTAAATTGAAATTTAATTGCAATCTTCAGGAAGAATTTAAACATACACCTGACCCTTTAACAATGTGAGGGTTAGGGGTACTGAGTCCCTGTTCAGTCAAAAATCTGCATGTGACTTTTGATTACCCCAGAACTTAACTACTAATAGCCTACTATTGATCAGAAACCTTACAAATAACATAAACAGTCAAATAACACATATTTTCTCTGTTAGATGTATTATATACTGGTGAGCTAGGAAAAGAAAATGTTTTTCACATTGTTGCAGATCTCAAAGAAAACTTCCAATATCTATATTGAAAAAAAATCTATGTATAAGTGGACTTCTGCACTTTGAACCCGTGTTGTTCAAGGGTCAGCTGTATATTATAAAGAAGACACTAGGCTGGAACATAATTACGCTTAGGTGTGAGTGAATGATGGAATTGCAGGCACATTTTACTAAGCAGCACAGTTGTGAGTCTCACACCCTGGTGAATCCTCCAGTGCCACAGAATTCAATTCATTTATGGTCCCCTCATTATTTATGCTCTCTCTGTCCTTCTCTCCATTGGCCCTGTTCTTTACAGTCAGATACTTCTGGAGACTATGAAGTCACGCTCTTAAAGATCTGCGGAGGAGATGACTGAGTCAAGAACATACTCTCCAGAGTTGCCTGCTCCCACAGTGAGGTTTTCCAACAGCTCTGCTTACTTCTCTCTCAGTATTTAAAAGTACAAGCAAGTATAAACAGCAGCCTGTTTCCTAACAAAAAGTGTCAACAAAAAGTGTCAACAAAAAGTGTCACTGTTCCATAGTAACCAAAAGTCCTAATTTTAAAGCATCCCATCATAATGTGGTAGTTCATAAATAAAATTTACAATGGTGTTAAGGATCTACTAATACTATACAAATTTTATTTCTGCTTAGAAAGTAAGAAGCTTTGTACTTACTGTTCTAAAACATTAAATGCAAAGTAGGGTAATGAAAGTTGTTGCCTTTGTTGAAGGTAATTTGTTTTTAGCATATGCCTACATATTTGGTACCTGGTGCCAACAACTAGTGATATTTTTAAAACACATTTTTGTATAAAAGCTGGTGCTGCTTTAGTTTCTCTATTACCCTGTTAATCACATTCATCTTTCAGAAGGGAATAAAATGAAGATGTATGCAATCCTGGTCTGCCCTTTCTAGTTGTGATCAAGCTATTGGAGTGGCAATGCATGTTCAGTGATTTCAGCTCCCAGAAAACATCTGCTGAACTATTAATCTAACCACTTCCTGTCTGAGTGGCAAGCATGAATTGTGGTTGTTTCATGACAAATACTCCTTTCCCAGAATGGGTATTTGGAGTCAATTCTCTAAGGTTTCCTTTTCCTCCAAAATAAGCTTGCAAAACTATGCATTTAAAAAATCTCTCATGTTGTCTTTGAAAGGGGCCTGATGTGAAATATCTTGACTAGTATGAAATATATGAGGTTAAAAATTCCAGGTGGAACTTGAATAGAAATGATAGATGTGTGAGAAATGGAAATAGTGGTATGTGAGACCAGATCTTTTAATCAAGGCATTCCACTGGTGAACACTTCTGAGATCTTTCAGAAAGATACAGAAGTTATTTCATGTTCTGGGATTTCCAGAATGCATACAGGAATAAAGTGCAGGGATTTAGAGTCCAGCACACCTGGTTCTGACTTCCTGCCCCATCATTTCCTAGCTGTGTGACCCAGAGAATTACCAAACCCTACAAAACCAAAGTTTTCTCATCTGCAAAATGGTGATAATTACAGCACCTACCTTTTAAAGATTAAGTACGAGAATGCCTGTGAAGCACTTAGCCCTGTGCCTCGATGTGGTAAATGTTCAATTACCATGTTATTACTGTTACCAACACCATCAGAATGCTCATGACAGCATTGCAGCCATTTTTCAACAGATTTCAGTTCATCTACCACCTATCAAGCCACATATAAAGTAAGTATTGGGTACACCAAGGGGACTCAGACTCATTTGCTTTTGCCCAAGAGCTCAAAATCTGCTTAGGGAGAGACATGTAAGCCAGTAAACACAACACAGCATGTACCACATGCACTCAGGGAAATGACATCGTCTAAGAGGCTGGATGGGTAAGTTAGCCTGCTGAAGGCTGCAAACTCACCAGTAAAAAAGAAGAGGAGGAAAGGCTCTCCAGACCGGTGGTAAGAGCACTTGCCAAGTCCCAGAGGTGTGAGCAGCACGGTGTGCACACAGCTCTCCCCCAAAGCTTAGTGTGGCAGATGCTGAGCACAAGGGGAGGTGACAGCGATGGGCAGGGGCCTGATTGTAAAGGTCTCATATGCCACACTGAAGAGATCACAAGCAAGGGAGAGTTGTGAAAGGAGTTTTCCTGGAGGATTTCAGTCAGGGAAATGGTGGGGTCAAGTGTTTGATCAACGCTAATGTTTGGGAGTCCACTTGGCAAGTTAGTTCTGTAATCAATACTGGAAATGTCATCCTGAGCTAAGATAACGATGTGTGTGCACATTCACACATCTGTAAGAATATTTAGGATATATAGAAGGTAAAATTGATAGAACATGGTAATCGGTAATCAGGTGTCAAGTTTGCCTCCATAATTTTGACTTAGGTGATTTGGTGAAAGAATGTCTACCTAAGTAATAAATCATTGCTGATATTCTTTGAGTGCTTATTATGTATCAAGCACTATGTTAAACAGTGTAGTATATGTTAGATCATTAATCCTCAAGGAACTTTACAATGTAGGCACCAACTCACAGATACAGGAATCGAAATTAAGTAACTTGTCCATTGGAAGAACCAGGATTTAAAGCCAAGCAGCCCAACTCCAGTGTCCAGGCTCTTGGCCACTATTTTGCCTTAGGATTTATCCTGTCCCAGGGCCATAGTTCTTTTTAACCCTGGACCATAAGCTGTTTGAATGCAGGGAGTTTTGTCTGTGGCTTTCACTTCTATATCCCTAGTGCTAGAGAACATGAGAAGCACTTAATAAGCCTTTATTGAACAAATTAAGTTTTTTTTCCTTTATGCATTTGAGCTATATAAGTGAATTTGGCAGGTTATTTAAACATTTCTAAGTATACCTGATTTTCAGCTTCACAGGCTTAGGAAAATAAACCAATCATTGCATTACAGGTTTTTTAGGAGAAGAGTTCAGAATTTTTACCCACATACAGAGTACTTCCTCCAAGCTACCCATCATTGTGGAGTGAAATATTTTGTGGAGCTGGCGGGGGTATTGGGACTTCTGGAGAAGCAACAAGTTCAAATGCACGTAGGTTTTCCTTTACTTAACATCAAGCTAAACTCCTGAAATGGCATCATAAGATTTCAATCTTGGCCACATTCTCCAAAGTCATGGAGAAGGAATCTCTGTCGCCTTTGGATTTTGATATTAACTGTTCTCTTTTCTTCTGCAAAAATGATTTGCCCCACTAGAGCTCTCCCACGTAGGTTCGCTTTCTCTCTTCCTTCCTTTGCCCTCCTTCCCATTCATTCTCTCTATTTAACATTTTATAATGTGGTAAGTACTGAAGCCACCTCCTCAGGAGCATGAAGACTTTGATAATGACCTACTACCAGCCATGTGGCCTTTTCCTCCCATCCTCCCTGCATCTATCTCCCCACCTGATGTAACCATCATCCTGAATTCCATATTCATTGTTCCCTCACTTTCATTTTATATAGCTTTTCATGTTTTTCCTTTATTGAGTCTTATACTGTATGTAATCTCTGGGACTTCTTTTTTCATTTAATATTATTTTGTTAAGTGATACCCATATAATTGCATTCATGTATTTTATTTATTTTGATTGCTATATATAATTCTATTGTGTAAGTCACAAGTATAATTTCTAGGAGGCCACACCACACATAGGCCACACCACACACAAAGGGAAGGATCACTTTATCTGGCTCCCTACCCTTTGTGCTTCTTTGAAGTTGTGGTGCCCCACTATAGCCACAGAAGTAGCCTTCATCTCCAGTCAGTAAGAGGCAGAATGTAATGGGACAAACGTAAAACTAAGAAGAATCTGGGTTTTTCTCTTTAATGGGTTCTGATTACCAGTTTCCAATGTGTGTGTGTGGTGGGGAGGGGGAAGTCCCACACCAGTGAGCGATGCTCCAACACCAGCTGGATGTCCACCAGTTCAACCTGCACGTAACGTCAGCTCCTGCAGTTTAAAGCTCAGTCCCACAAGACTGCCCCCACCAGATTTCAGATGCCAGTCTCAAGTCCCAGTTGTCATCTTTGCTTCAGACTAAATGGCTTTAGTTGGGAGGTTCCCACAACTAAAGTACTTGGGTTTGTACTAGAGTGATTCACAGAACTCGGAAATGTTTACTTACCAGTTTGTTATACAAGGATAAAAGTAAGGGTACAAACAAGCATCTTGATGAAAGAGATGTATAGAATAAGGTGTGTGGAGACCCACACTGCTGTGACTTTTATGGGGGCTTCATCACATAGGCATGATTGATCATTAACTCCATTTTCAATCCTTTTCCCTTCTCAAGAGATTAGGGGGCAGGGCTGAAAATTCCAAGCTTCTAATCACGGCTTGTTTTCCTGGTGATCAGCCCCCACCCAAGAGCCTACCCAGAGCTGCCTCATTAGTAAAGACCAAATATTAAAACAAGCCTGCTCTAACGCTCTCATCACTGAGGAAATTACAAGGGTTTTAAGAGTTCTGTGTCAGGAACCAGGGGCAGAGACCAGTATGTATATATATATATATTTTCTATTATCTCACACTCTTGCTTTCCCAGGGACTCATCATTGTAAGATAAATTCTAGCCGAAATAAGCAGGCAAAGAGAGGCAACAAAGAGCCAGGTAATTTATTTGAATGCCCCCAGGCGAGGTTCTGCAGTCTGACTGTCACAGGCCGGGGAAGTCACGCGAAAGTAGATAGGCAGTGAGTTTTTAAAGAAGGTAGCGGGAGGCAGAGCTTAGATTTACAACAGCGCAAGGATTGGCTAGCCTAAGGCACATTTTTCAGATTGGGAGGGGGCAGCAGCCAGGGACTTTGGCATGTCATCAGTGTCTGACATGCTCACCCTTCCCCCCAGTGCCTTCAACCTTACAATCATGTACTCAGTCATAGAAAAGGATAGCCACTGAACCATTGTGAATGTCAGTGTATATGTTACATATCTCTAAAGTCCTAGCCCAGTTCCCTGTTCATAATAGGTACAGAATAAATTTTAATGACAATGATTTGAAAGTGAGCATACAGATATTTCTTGCCAGCTATTCCAGATTGTTGTAAGGAGCACAGGAAATCATCACTGGAGCTCCCTTGAAAAGTACTGAATGTTATTCAAGTGTGATGTGAAACTATAAAATCGATATTAGACTAATTAATTTTTGTTTTAAGTATGAATCGTGGACTTACTATGTGCTGAGTACTGTGCTAGGTATTTTATATCTCATTCTTAGAGTTGTTATACCATTTCTCTGCCTTAAGTATTTTGTGGAACAAAAGCATAGTTATATGTATCAATTTTATCCCCATTTTGCAGATGAGGAAAATAAGGCTCAAAAAGATTAGTTTACTCGCCCAAGGTCACACAGCAGCAAAGCCACCTTTAGGCTCCAGGTCAGTTGGCATCTGCATGACTATGAGACAAGATGAGAAAGTGAAGGGAGTGGCTATCACTCAGCAGAATCCTGCAAAGAGAAAGGAACACTGAGATGGTAAAAGGCTCCAAGGAAAGCTATCCTCTTCCACCTCCTCTATACTTCTTGCCTCCATTGCATTGGACTATCTGGTAGCTGTTAAAAGTATATTTCTGATAATTCTAATGGAACATGGCTCTCTCAGATGGAGGGTTGTTGTTAGTGGTCCTTCCAAAGAACCACAATACTTATCTAAATATCTAAATAGTGTCCGAGAATGAGGGGGGCAGTGTATGGCCAAAGCCGTGCCATGTTTCAGTGCATAGGTCCTCAGGTCATGCTGCCCAGGTCTCTGACTTTAGACAAGATACTTGACCTTGCTAAGCCACATATCCCTCACCTACAACTGTAGGTCCTAAAGTTAAAGTTATCTTGGTAACTCATAAAGTTATTTTGATAAATGAGAAAATATTTAAAAGGAGTCAGCATAATGCATATGGTAACTCCTCAGTAAATGTTGTTAGCCTAGATCAT